CAATACAAGTCAATAAATGAATCCCCATAATCTATAGCATTGATTCACTGTTAAAAGGACCCATCCCAACCCCAGTAATTTACATGATGGATAAAGAAATGTTCAAATTTACTAAGGTGCAATGAGTTTCTTGACTCCTACTTGACAATGAGTGGCCTCATTGTAATCATATGACCCTTGGATGATAAGGTCATAGCTCTTCTGAACATCTCTGTGTCCCAGGGCTTCAGCAAGCAGACCATGGAGCTCATTCGAAGATGACGGTTTCACCTCTCATCTTTCTTCTTGTTTGAAGAATGCCTCTAACCTGGTTTTGAAGATATTGAAAGTTAATGGCAAAAACCAACAGGAGAGATGGATATGACTCTTTGCATTGACTAGCTTTCCTCTAGAAAACATTTAACCAGGAGCAATGTAATCATTTACCTTTTATTTACCTTCTAAACTGGAGGTAGAGATAATTTCAACAACAGCTGAGTCATCACTAAAGTCAACAGGTAAAGGTCTCTTCTGCAAAATCAATTGCCAGATATATATTACTGACTGAAGTTATGTGGGTAAATTAACATTGTATTGTTTTCATTGTAAACCAGACCCAATACAGTTCATTATGTCTTTCGCTTCTCTTCAAATACAATCATGTTTCCTATAATTAAGAATAATAATTTGCTCACTTTTAGGCAGTGCCTCGCAGCTGGCTCTCTTAAGGCCCTACATTCTTTTGGCTTGGGGTTAACAGAGAAAAAGCAATTGGGCTAAATTCAGGCTCCATCCCTGTATGTTGTTGGTCAAGTTCCAGAACCTGTGTGAGCCTCTGCTTCTTCTAAAGGACAAATGACGAGAATAGTAGAACTCCCATGGATTTATAAGAATTAAAGCACAAGGCCTTTTAGAGAATAAGGAATCAATAACATTTGCTATGATGATGATGATGTTTTCCTGAGGAGGAACTGTTCCAACCTCAGACAGCCCAGATATTCCCATGGTGTCTTTAACTCTAAAATGATTCTCTCTTTTGAGAAACGACGTTGATAGGGTGTCAAGGTCACGCTAAACAGTATGTAGTAGGAAGTTTTCTTCCAAACAAAAGAGAATGAAAGGTTTCTCATAGTTTCTTATAAGATAATGAAAGCCTGCTGGTCACCAGGTTTGATAATTTTCACGATATGCTCAGGCTCACGTCTCCTAATTTTGGTATGTTGCCACTGAGTACAAAAGGTTCTTCCAAATTAATCCAGGGCAAACAGTGTTGTTACCTTTGCAAAAAACCTGACAGGTCCTTGGACAAGGGTAACTTGCACTCCATTAAGCGATGTTTTACATTAGAGAAATAAATCCCAATCTGTCTCTACAGGACAAACATTATGATAATTTCATATAAATTATAGTTCTTGGCTGATCAGATGTCACTGAATCAAATAAGTCAAAGGGAGCTTCTTCAGGGCAGACAGCATCTTCTCATTACTCTGTGTCTAGGCACTTTACATCACAGATAGATGTTTAATAAATGTTCGTATAAATGAAGAAATACCAGGTGCATCAGAAATTAATCCTTGGCCTCTAAGGGCCTATGCTCTTTAAGTACCAGGAAGGGCAGAGCTGGGAAATCTGGCCCAATTATTTGAACACCAACCATGGCCACTTCCTCTCTGCAAAAACCAGTGGTTCCTCTGGCTTTTGCTGACGTGTGCTTATTCATGTCCTGTTTTGTGAGAGGCTGGGTTTCTAGCTCTTACCTCGGCTCTCGCTGCCTGACGTGACATTGCACCCTCTTTTAGCTCTATTCTTCTCTTCCAAGACCTGTGTCCGTTGGCGGGATCCTGACAAGAACAGTCCCCACAACTCTGTTCCTGTGCTGGCCATGATCCTTCTCGTCCTGCCTCCTGACCGGCAACTATAAATGCTGAAGGCTGCTTTGGAACAGTTTGAATGCGTTGCTCCCCTAGTGGAGAGCTGTACTAACAAATTCAGAGACCTGGTGCCATCCTCCGCGGCCATCTTGAGATTTCCACCATCAGAAGCACACACAGGGGCTCCACCCAGCAAGCGAGGTTCAGTGCCCTGCTGCCATCTCCTGGAAGTGGCTCATCCTCTTCTGCTCCTTAGACCTTTGGGTCTACTCTCCTCCACCTGCTCTAACAAGTCCCTGATGTCTTCCATACACTATCAGACACAGTGTGAATGAAAAGAGTTATTATTTTAATGCACAGATACATAATTAAAATAATGAGAGGAATGACCATAAAGAGAAGTAGATGCCTATCTCCCATTGGCATGCAAAGATGGCGAAGCCAGGAGGATGGAGCTGACCCAAGAACACTCATGAGGATACACACTTGGCATTCAGCAGGTGAAAATCTTTCCAAGTTTAAAATTGGTGCCGTCAGGCACAGAGAAATACCTACAGCCTCCCTTCGGCACGCTTTGCTACAGCTCTCTTGGAAAAATACCACAATATCATCTATTTTCTTCTTCATTGTTAGTAAATAAGTGGCAACATTTCTTTCTAGGGAAACTGAAAAAAAAAATGAAATGAGGAACCATTTTATTCAGCTTGACACAAAAGTTACTTTAGTTCATAAGAGTTAGACATATGGAATATTCGAGATAAAACCAAGGTATTCCTAAAATACATTTTAAAAGAGTTCTGATGATTTTTCCATATCTAAGCTCCCACAAAAGTCAACATGGAAGCAATAGCGGAGACAAAGCGACAACAGCTGACCTAACACAACACACCAGTTAAACTGTGGGGATATAAAGTGACATGGCCTTTGTGATAGGCAGTTTGACCAGTTTTAAATTAAAAGCTTTAAAAATGACCAAATCATTTGAGTCAATAATTTCACTAATAAGAATCTATCCTAAAACAAACAAACAAACAAACAAACAGACAAAAACTAGAAAGCCAAAGATTCTTGAATAAAAAATTTCTTTGAAGCTTTGTATATGACAGTAATGATGCACAGGCCCTTGTAGTACTCTGTAAAGGAGAACACTTCTTTCTGCCCTTGGCTAAAGTGATATTTGCATAAGTCACTTCAGGCTTGCTTTTAATCCCAGAGGGAGGAAGAAACATGAGGGGCAAAAAATCTTCAGTTGGGCTGGGTTTCAACTCAAGTGTCTGAGAAAGCAAGTTACCTAGAAGCAACCAGATTAAATTTTCACAAAAGAGGGCTCAGAGTCAGAAATTCAGTGAAGTTGTGGAAAAATAGTTATGTATGCCTGAGCTTACGAAATATGCACTCACTGCATGTATTTTTTGTAATTTTCAAATTTTTAATAATGATCATATTTTTTTATTATAAAAGATTACTGAAAAGAAAAGCATAGCATCCACAAAAAGTGGCTCAGGAGTCAAGGCCCTGAAGAAAAGGGCCATGAGGCTGATGGAAAGTCACCCCTGATGTGAGGATCATCTTGCTAGATGTCCAGAGCTTGTTTTGTGTCTCTAAGAGCCAGGACCCCTGTCTCAGAGAGAACCTGGAGTCTTAACCATATCTTCTGAGCTTCTGTCATTAAGATTCTGTATTAGTGCATGAGCAGCTGGGAGTGAGGGTGAAAATAGTCCTTCTAGCTACTTTCTTTGCCTCATCACGCTCTCCCTTGTATTCTCCCTCCCCCAGCAAATCAGTGCTATTAAACTCCCCTGTAGAAGGGCCCCTCTTTTTATTAAACCAAGTTTTGTTCTCTGAAGCAATAGCGAACAACAGGACAAACCCACCCACCCACAACGATGGCCTCTAAATGTTTGAAGAACATGTTGGTTTCCATGTTAGGACTACCTCGCTCCAGGCTAAACCAAGCCAGGTCCTTATATGATATTTCCCAAGTCTCTCAATATCCTGCCCACTCTTTTTGGAAGTTACACTTAAGATTGTCAAGGGCCACTTGAAAAGCAGTGCATGGAACAAACACTGTGGCCCGGTGCTCTGGCCAGAAAGATTCACTCTAATTTTGCTAAGACTGTGAAGGGCATTAAGGAGGCATTTGTGGTCTGAGCTGCCACTGCAGCATCTCTGCTTGAGTGTGAGACTCAAACCCAGAGCTTTGCCAAGTGAGCAGCTGTTAGCCCTGGGCTCCCCTCTGCTGCACTTGTGCACTGGCTGGTGGCACAGACCGCTGAGGACACAGGGTCACTGGTGCCAATCACACCCAGCCACCCAGGAGACTCAGGTGAGTGCCGGCTGTGCTGTCACCTGCAGAACCTTGGCAATGAGGTCTGGAAGAAAGAGGATGAGGGAGTACGGAACTCCACACTGCTCTTCTGGCCGTTGCCCTTCCCAGTTGTGCTGTGGAAACTCTCTCTTCTCAACCCCGTTCCCCACTTTAGGCAGAAATATCTCTCTTCTTTCCTTCTTTTTTCCAAGGATCTTAATCAAGATCTTGGCATCTCCCATATCTCTCCCTCCTCACTCTAGGTCATCTGTACCTTTGCTACATCTGTGGGCCTTGTCCTCCTCCCTCCAAGAACGCTCTTGGAGGAGAAAATCCTCCCTGACATTAGAGGATTTTATCAAAGTGCTGAATATCCCCCCTACCCCTCCTCACAGACCCCCTAGTGTGCTCAGATTACAATAGAAGGCACTGTCTCTGCTGCCAAACCCACAGTGCTCTAGGGCTGGCTGTGCTGGGCCCCCTCACCTGGGTGAATGCCTGAGCCCCCTCCTCTTCTTGCTGCTGTTATGTGTTCCTAGCTGACTTTGGAGCATCTCCCCCGCACGCCCCTACCACCCACCCCAAGTAGTATTGATTTGGCAGGTTTCTTGGGGGCCAGCAATGTCCTAACCTGTTTGCTTTTCCAGGGCTGATGTTTGCAGGGATTTTCTTGGAACCACAACAGAAATCATCCCACGTTCTTATGCAATTCCTCTGGTGGCTCCCACAGATAAATAAAGCCCTCAACTTCTCCATCGGTCTACCTTTCCCAGCAGAGCACCTGGGTTTTTCCCAAAGCTTCCAGGTAACTGCCCATGTGCCAGGGCCTTTCTGGGACAGCCATGAGGTCCCTTGTCCTGGTCCTTTGCCTTGCTCAACTCTGGGGCTGCCACTCTGCGCCTCATGGCCCAGGTCTGGGTTATAGAGAACTGAACTGTGATGACCCAGAAACAGAGCAAGCAGCCCTGTTGGCTGTGGACTACATCAATAGCCACCTTCTTCGGGGCTACAAGCACACCTTGAACCAGATTGACAAAGTGAAAGTGTGGCCTCGGGTAAGTGAACCTATTGTTTATGAAGAGAAAGAACCTGTTCCTGGAGCTTAAATGGGTGTCTCAAAAAATCACATCTCCCGGCACAAATGAAACTGAAGAGGGGTAAACTCTGATTTCCTCCCAGGAGAGAGGGAGGGAGCAGGCAGAGGGCAAAAGAGGAGACATCTTGTACTGTATTCACAGGTCTTAAGGAGGGTGCTGGGGGTTGGGGTTGTGCGTAGGAGAAGAAAAGTCTTCAAAGGATATTTGAACATCTCAAGTAGAAAATGTGGCTTGCTAGAAAAACTAGGGTACAAGGGACTGGACCCTAAATTGCCAAGTTATTGCCAGTTGGAAATCACTTACCTTTCTTTGCTTCTGTTTCTCTGGATGAAGACTGAGAGTGAATGAAACTAACTTGTGAAAACTACTTACTTTGTGCCAGGCCCTTTCGCATATGTCTACTCCTTAACCCCTTTTCCCCCTGAGTCCTGTGCGGTAGGTATTGTCCTTGTTTTACATAAAAGGAAACCAGTAATCTGACAAATTAGGGTACCTTTCTTTGCCTGAGGCCATATAATTAGTAAGCACTGGTCTGGGATTCGATTCTAGACCTGTGTTCCTTCCTCTATACAAGCTGCCTCCAGAGAGAAGTCTTGGCATGATGCAACTGACTTCCTCGCATGCTAGACAGGAAAGTGCAGTCTGAAGCCAGCGATGATAAAGATCAAACTAGAAAATATGCCTTGGGGATCAGTTGAAAGATTTGAAGAGATGTGGAAAAGGCATCTGTCTACTGACTGTTTTGAAATTAGGTTGTATACCTAATGAAGAATAATTCTTTCCGCGAACATTGATTACAAGCTTTCCATGGGCAAAAACCAGGGTCAGGTGCTATAGGTGCTATTAGGTTGAACCATATTAAGTTGCCATTTTTGTATATTAAAAGCAGTCGAATATTGGCATTTTAGTAGTTCGACTTAATATAAGGCGAGAAAGACATAGTGCCCACAAAAGATTCACAATCTAGAAAAGAAAGAAAAGGTAAACATCAGGGTATCTGGGCTGACTGACTGACATTTGATCTCTCAATGGGACATAATAGCCACAATTGAGATTGTCCCGGTGGATTTTAGGAGTGCTCCAACTATATTGAAATACAGAAGAAACATTGATCAATTCAGAGGGAATAACATACAACATGCACATGTGAGAGAAAGGTTATGAACAAACATTGTGGTTTTCACTAAAGGCAGAGAAACGTCACTAAAGTTTTTCCTTGAGAAACTCAGGAGTGCTCGGCTCCTATTCACTGAAACTGAGTGTTTTCAGGAAGCTAACTTGGGCACATCTGCACCTCATAAAACACACCTTCCTCCAGGAGAGGTGATTCCAATGCTTCAGGTACTAGTGAGTCAGCCAGAACAGAAATGAAAGGCAGGCAGAGCCTGGCTGAAAGACAAAAAGGCATGCTCGTAACTTTTTGATTTTCCAGGCTTTGAATAAACTGTTTTAAGGAGCTGTTCTCACTGGAGGTGAGCTGGCAATAACAACTCCAAGGATTTATACAAGCTCCTCTATCAATGCCTTCCCCACAACTCCTTCAGGTCTACACTAGTGACTTACACACTGCTTCCTCAGTGTCAAATAGGAGCTTGCGCTTCCCCTTGCCCGCCAGCAAGGGGCAGTAGAGAGCAGCAACTTTGCATCCAGGTCTTTATAAGCCAAAGACAAAAAGCCAAGGACAACTTTTTCTTTAGGAAGGGAAAGGAAATGGAGAAGGAAAGAAAGTAGATGATGAGAGGGAAGGGAGAAAGAAGTAGAGGGCGGAATAGAGAAGATAGAGACGGTAAGATATTATCTTACAGCACCTTACTTTGCTGCTTAACTGAGAAAAATCCAAAGCTGACTTTTTCAAAGCACTGCTTGAAGGGTGAAAAATTTTAAATTAATAAGTTTCAGCACTCACTTTTAGCTTCCAAATAGAGCTCAGAGTGATGACTATGGTTCCATCAACCTATCCAAGCCCAGGACCCCTTTTTCCTGGCAAACACCATTGAGCACTTGCTCAGCCAACAGGAGGATAGAAGCCCTGTCATAGTCCTGTCCACAGGGCACGTCAGAGTTAAGTAGAGTTGCAGACACACAACAGAAATGACTAATCTCATCTTTCCCACAGCGGGTGGGTTCAAGCCCGATGCAGTCTCCCACTTTGGCCTGATCAACAGGATCAGGGAGGGCAATAGGCTGCTCACCTCTTCATTCTACTTCTCCACAGCGGCCCATGGGAGAGGTGTTTGAGATTGAAATAGACACACTGGAAACCACCTGCCACGCGCTGGACCCCACCCCGGTGGCAAACTGCTCTGTGAGGCAGCTGCAGGAGCACGTGAGTGGCACTCTTAGGGTGACTTCGGGTGGTGGCCCAGCCAGTTCCACTGTGATTCTGCAAAGAGCAGGCCCATTTTATCCAGCTGCCCAGACTGCCCTCATGCCTAGGGAGTTCGTAATTTCTAAAATTACCATTTGAAGCCACCTTCCCTGGGGCCGATTTTTACAACAGTTCAATTTTCTTGTTGTAGCCCTTCCTGAAACCAGAGACTCTAATGGTTCAATATCAGCCAGTGAAAGTGATTTTGTGAGGCTCACCTTTGACAATCATGCCTGAGGGACCAACCCTTCCCTGATGAGAAGTGAGAAGCCAGCCCCACTCTGGGGCCCTCACTGTGGATTTATTTCTCTAGGCTGTGGAAGGAGACTGTGATTTCCGAGTGCTGAAACAGGACGGCCAGTTTTCTGTGTTGTTTGCAAAATGTGATTCCAGTCCAGGTAGATATGATTCTTCTTATTATTTTGACCTTGTAGAGAGAGTAAGGAAGGAACCCGAATTGTTTTCAACGTGAGTAGTTCTAGCCACTTTGCTGGTGAGGAGAAGGAGAAGCCAAATTTCCTGGGACCTGGGATTGTACAACTGTTTTAAGGAGCTGTTCTCACTGGAGGTGAAAATTGCCCTTTGATGAGAGGGGCTCCTGCAGAAATGTCAGCATGACAGGAGCTACCTGAAGGTTTAGTAAGCAGCAGAGAGAACGCCTGAAGCCATTTGGATGCTCTTAGGCCTTTCTAAAGAAGCAGAGCTGGGGTGAACGCCGACAATTACACCCCGGATGGGTTTCTTCTCTCTGCGCAGACTCTGCGGAGGATGTGCTGAAGGTGTGCCCAGACTGCCCCCTGCTGGCCCCGCTCAATGACACCAGGGTGGTGCACGCCGTAGAGGCTGCGCTGGCCGCCTTCAACGCACGTAATAACGGCTCCTATTATCAGCTTGTGGAAGTTTCCCGGGCTCAACTTGTGGTAAGATTGAGACCTTTTAGCTGACTGGGCAATTTGGTGGCACTTCGGGAATATACAGTGGTGAAACAGCAGTGAGGGACAGAGCAGGTGCAGGGGCAGCAGTGAGAAGGCAAGGAGGGCTGTGGGAGAAAAGGGAAAGAAAGGGTCCTGCGATGTATGAGGACCCTGAGTGTCATGAGGACCCAGAGAACCCCCAGTGCTTCCCCCATGCTGGGCCACTCTAACATAAAACAGCCAGACGCTGCCTGTCCCTGGTTCCTCAGTTCTAGTCAACACCAGGGTTCGCTGTTCAGAGGTCAGGAGTTCCCACATTACCCAGAAGCACTCATTGTAAATTCACGGGTCTCCACATCTTTATCATCTATCGCCACTGACCATCTGCAGCATTCTCGTAAGATCTGTGTAACGACACGAGCCTATTTGCACAGACAGGCATATAATGGCAGGATCCTAATATCTTTTGACTTACTGAAAAAAAAATCTAACTGTACTGTGGCTAATTTAGCACATTTGAATGCAACAGAATTCTAATATTTAAGAAAACTAGTATTCTGATGACCAACCAAGGCATTGGAAATACATTGTATAGATGGTAATTTTATTAACCAGAATATGTGCTTCTCAGAACACCCCAACCCCAGACTATCCCCAAATAACAGATATCTTATTATTGTAAGAGTCTATATGCTCCATAAGAACTACAAGAAAAGCACAAGTATTTTCCATGTGTTCATTTTTATTTTTCATTTGATCCCGCTCTACAAAATTGGTGGGAGAGGTATTACTCTTTTTACTTTCCTGCTCCATCTTGGAATAACCTAAACCTTGGGTCTCAAAGTGCAGTCCCAAGAAGGAAGGCGGAGGTAGAGGTTGGGGGGAAGCGCTCCCAATCAGGTCAGTGTAAGGTCAGCCTCTGAATTCCTACTTCCTATTTGAAAACTCATTGTGCCCTGAATGATGGGCAGTGGATACCTGCATCTCCTTCAGGGGACACCCACCCCTGACCTCTGTATACAAGCACTGTGGAACATGAGGCCATAATAATCGACCTCTGTAAGCCACGGGGGCCAAATTCTCTGGCCACACACTGTGATTTACGTGAAGGGTGCTCCTTGGAGTGTGCAATGCCGTGGCCCATGCTACTGCTCTCCAGCCTCTCCTCCCCCACCTTTTTCATGCTAAGTCATGTTGCCTCATGAGCATTTTCATTTATTCTCATTAGCCTTTTCCAGTTTCAACCTATGTGGAATTTGTGGTGGCTGCCACTGACTGTGTTTCTAAAGAGGTCACAGACCCAGCCAAGTGTAACCTGCTGGCAGAAAAGGTGAGCAGGCCAGGCCCTGGGCATGGCAAACCTGGTTGTAGAACAGAGCATTCTTGGAGCAAGTTAGTATCTTGGGGCTGCAGAAAAGAGATAGCTGCAAAATACCCACTCCCTATGGGGTGGGGTCATGCCAGGCCTTCCTCTGGGGTGTCACCTCCTCCATTTAAGAGTTGTCACAAATCATCTCAAATCATCTCATCTGCTGCAGGCCCCTGGAGTTAGAAAAAAGACAGGAGACTGTTTCCTAACTAAGCCAAGTCAGACCTGGTTGCTGGGAGTTTGAAATGTAGATTTTCTAGATATACCTCTGATATGAAATTTTTCAAGTCCTTGAGCCAGTAATGTCTACTTCTAGGAATTTAGCATAAAGAGATCAACAGAGATGTTTGGCAGAAATATATCTATAAAGATGATTTATCATAGATGCAAAATATACAAAAATATACAAAAGATACAAAAAGATCTGAATGACTAACAGGAGGGAGTCATTGGTACATCAGTAAATAGACACTAAATATTATGTTTTCAAGAAATAAAGAATGATGTAAGAAAATGCTCTCATATTTTGGTAAGTGAAAAACACAGAATACAAAATGGTATAGTCATAAGGATCCCATTTTTTAAATGATTTTTAAAATAAGAAATACATGTATGTTAACAGAAGTTCTCCTAGGTTATTGGTGATTTCTCCCTTTCTCAAATATTTTTTAGAATATTTTTCACATTCTATATAGAATTATATGTTATATATCTTCTGTAAATAAGAACTATAAACTTTAGAAAAAAGTTTTTTTCTTAACTAATTAAAGTTTAAGATTTTTTTTTTTTTTTTGATATATTGGAGTATCAGTGAAATTGGGGGAGGAATCCACTTTTTGAACCGGTTCAGATAACTCCTGTTTTTCTATGGACAGCAATATGGCTTCTGTAAGGCAAGGCTCACTGGCAAGTTTGGCGGGGAAGATGTTGCAGTGACTTGTGTGGTATTCCAAACACAGGTAATGGCGTCATGGATACACTTGCCTTCATCTTCAAAATACAATGACTCCTCGACATTTATGCATTGCTTTAGTGATTACAGGGCATTTGCTGCTCTATCCTTCTGAGCCCCACAATGATAAATAGCACCAGGGTACGTGGGATCATCAATAAACGGAAGGATATTTTAGCCATGCCTTCCCCTCTCATGAACTGGGGGCTACAGGGCAGAACCATTTTAGTGGGTATTTGACAAAGCCACCTTTTGCTTTGCTGGGGTGAGAGTGATTTTCTGAATTGCAGAGACCAGGTGGCCGGATCTGCCCGGCATCTCCCAGTGGTTGCAGGTGTAGATAACAAAAAGGGTGACACTGCTGGTAAAGGTTAGCCATAAGGTGGGATGCTTTTGCTTGTGGGACATGTGTAAGTCCACCATCCCCAAGACAATTGGTGAGAAAGGGGCTATCATAAGCCAGTTACCCTCTCCTGCAGCTCTGATGACAACCCTTTGCACCTAGGTAGTTCTTCTTCCTCCTCCTCCTCCCCTTCTTTCTCCCCCCTCCTCCTCCCCCTCCTCCTCCCCTCTCCTCCTATTCCCCCCATCCTCCTCCTTATAGTAAAATATAAATTATTGCTATAAAGAATTGGGTGGGGTTCTGCCAGGAAGCATTGGTGGCCTTGTCTGGGTAGCTAACCTAAGGACTGTTCTCTCTCCAGCCTGTGTTACCTCAACCCCAACCGGAGGGCACCAACTCACCCACTCCTGCGGAGACCCCCGCCAAGCCTTTGTCTCCTCCAGCTAACCTGCCTGCAGCCACGGTGGTGGTGGGGCCCCTGGTGGCGGCAGCTCCCCCACCATCCCTACCGGTGCACCGGGCACACTATGACCTGCGCCACGCTTTTGGAGGCGTGGCCTCAGTGGAGTCAGCCTCAGGAGAAGCATTCCTTGTGGAAAAAGCACCCACAGTGGTGCAGCCAGGCGTTGCTGTTGCTGCCGGTCCAGTGGTCCGCCCTTGCCCAGGGAGAATCAGACACTTCAAGATCTAGATGAAGGTTAGCGATGAGAAGGTTTGGCACGGAGAACATAGCCACCATTCTGTCCAAGTCTGGGTAGGGTTGGGAACCTTGTCTGCTGTCAGAGCAAGTAGTGCATGTGATCTAGATGAACATCAAGTCTTGAATCCCAACTTCCTTTCATTCTTCAGAGGACAGAAACAGCAGGGGTGATAGTTGTATTTGTTGGAAGGCATAAGGCTGGCAACTTGATTATCATTGTTTTGGTGCTAAGCCACCACCATTGTGTTTTCTGCCTTCTCTGACCTCACAAAAACAATTGGAACTGTGACTTTGAAAGGTGTCCTTGCTGAGCTTGTATCTGCTTGTTAATAAAAGTGTCTGAAAGACCTTCCTTAATAAAGAAGGTTCTAAGCTGAAATGTGGTTATCATTATTGGCTACTTCCTCCAGGCTCATGTGTGTGGTCTGTCTTCCCAACAGCCATAGCCCAAGTGTCACTAAGCAAAATCAAAGTGAAAATAGAAACAAAATAGAACAAGAATCTGCTACATTACATACACAGGAAAAAGACTAGAATCTGCTCACAACCCATAGGCTATGCCCATTTCCTTATGAGAAAATAATTCTTTTCATTTCGTAAGGGTAAAAAAAAATTGCTAAAGGAGGATAAGTTGCCTGAACTTGGTGCAGACAAACCAACCATTGGTTTACTCCAATACTCAAGTAAGGAGGGATTGGTAATTAATGCAGGAACTTCACTTTAATTATATTTGTTTATTATTTATGTTAAAAATAACTTGATTTACTGTATACATTTTATTTTTGCAATTTTAGTCTTTCTAGCCAATCCATTGTAAGGCTTCAAGTAAAAGCTCTGGTTTATAGAATGAATAGAAGAGGGATACCTGGACAGATAAATCCAGTGGACAATTGTAGACACTGTCTAAGTGCTCAGATACCACAAAGGAATAAACAGTTCCCACTATAGAATGGTGTCTAGAAAATTTCAATTTTTGTCTACTAGAACTAGGTTGTTCTGAGAGAGCTAAGTAATGGACCCTTTCATATGGAATTTTAAATGGGTGGGACTAACAGGCAGTTGAGTGGCTTCACTGAACCAAGAAGAGTGACTCAAGCATTGACATTCACCTTATCACTCTTACCTAGAAGTTTTGCCAATATTCCAGTAGCCAGAGGAATGGCCAGGAAGGTGGGAAAACCGCTAGGTATATCGTAAGCCAGGGAAGATGAGGAAGGTATGGTCAGCTGGGCTAAATGCTGAAGAAAGAGCAATGAGAATGAAGAACGAGGAAAGGTCATGGTTAGTTGGCTGACTTGGAGGTCCCGGCGGCCACTGGCAGATGCAGTTTCATTAGAAGGGTGAGTGTAAAGGCCTGGTTGCAGAGAGTTGACTGGTGGTATGTATATGATGAGAAAATGGAGAGGCTCATGTATTCTCTTTCAAGCAGTTTGATGGTGAAGAGTGGAAGACATAAGTTATAATCTAAAAGGATAACTGGATGGAGAGAAGATATCTTTTCCAAGAAAGAAGAGTTTTGGGCAAAAAATAGAAAAATATAGAAGAAAGAAAAGAGATAATGGGGCAGGATATTTAGTGGAGAGCTGGAAATGGGAGGGTTTGAGCAACTCTGCCAAGGATTCCAGCCCTTCCTTGAGAGAGCTTGGAAGAAGATCCTGGAGAGGCACCTTTCACCCAGTACTAAAAGAGGCTCACCTGCTCTTCACCCTGTATACACAGGTGTGGCTGTGAAGGAGCACATGGTGTATTAGTCACAACAAGCAACCTAAGTAAAAAGGGAATGCTACTACCTTGTGTACTGGGAATTCAAATGAATGAGTCCTACCTAAGGCACGGCAGGATCCAGGGATTCAAATGATGTTCATCTTCTCTCTCTCTTTCTCTCTCTCTCTCTCTCCCCTCCACTCCCTTCTCTCTCTCTCTCTCTCTCTCTCTCTCTCTCTCTCCCTCTCTCTCTCTCTGTCTCTCTGTCTCTCTGTCTCTGTCTCTGTCTCTCTCTCCCTCTTCTTCCCTCTCTCTCTCTCTCTCTCTCCCTCCCTCCATTTTTCAGTAATGCCTGCCTTTAGTCTTAGCCAGGATGGCCATTGGCAGTCTCACATCTACATCAGCATTAGTGCTAAGCCTGAAGAAAGAGAGAAGGGTAAGTTGAGAAGAGCCGAGGAAGGAGCTATTTTAGAGGAATAACAGGCATGAAGGCCTAGAGGTAGGAAGCAGGTCAATGTAGCCAAGAATGGAAAAGGAAGCTGGATTTAAGCAAGTGAGAGAAGGAGGAGGGCTGTAGAAGATGAGGTTAAAGAAGTGGCCGGAGGCCAGGGCGTGAGTGACCTTAAAGTCCCCAGAGGGAAACTTAAAGGTTTTCAGCAGAGCGGTGACATCATGTGCTTTATGTTACAGGATCACTCAGGCTCTGGTTCTCAGCCTGGGGATGGGATGAGGTGGGTGGAGCAATATCACCTCCTCCTTAGATGTTAGGAAGTAAATGGAGGCATTTACTTGGGATGCTACTGGACAGAGGCTAGGGATGCTAAACATTCTGAAATGAACAGGACAGCCCCAACAATGAATTTCCAACAATGAACAATACAACTAATTAATGCTCCGAAAGCCAATAGCATTCACCTTGTTAGTTGCTGTAGAGAAAATGGCAAGAATAGCCACAGGATAGGAAGCGACGGGAGCTTTCTAGAAGAGACATAAGTAAGACTAAGACTAAGATGGTGTGCGCAGATGTGGTAGAACAAGGACATTATTTGCAGGTAGAACTCCTAGGACCTGCTGATGAATTTGACATGGGAGTGAGAAAGTGAGAGGATTTGTGGCTTTGCAAACTGAGTAGATGGTGGTGCCATTTACTGAGGCAGAGGGCGCCAGTTCATTTCATTTGAGTTACCTCAGCTTCTCTCCTCTCTATTTAGAAACCGTGCAGTTGGTTTTTCTATGTCAGGCTCACCCATGCCTCTCAAGGAAGCAAGCGTGAATCAGACAGACCTGCATGACCTGGCCAAGCTGTTTCACCTTTCATTTCCCATTGTCCTCATTATACACCAAATGTATACAACAGCCTGGCTGTGCTGTAGGAAGGAGTAAATGAGATGCTAGAAGTATATGCTTGGAAACTCCTTGACACATTCTTGGTTCTCAGTAAGTGTCCTCCCTCTCTGCTTTCTCTTCCTGTCCTCTGAATTTAGTGGCTTCAGGAGATCATGTTCTTGACCTTGGCTCTTAAATGTGTACTCTCTGCTTGGTAAAGTCCATCTTTTCTCATGATTTAAACACTCAGTCTTCCACAGATAACTTCCAACTTTCCAGCTCCAGGTTAGGCCTCTCTTTTGAATTCCAACAGTGCATTTCCAAACATCTCCAGGATTACCACGCTTGAATTTACCTAAAACAGTTTCCTACATGATTTATTTTATCTAAGAGATGCATACCTGAAGACTCAGCATTACTCAAAATGTGCATATTCTGGAAAAATTTCTTCCCAAGAATAAACATAAATTAGAGAGGATGAGTTATGGAGCTATTAAATCTACTGCACTTTTAGCACATTTTTTTTGCATTAATGCTGTTCTATATTTTCTTAACATCATTTTTAATATTTTGCAGTGCTCGCTTCTAAATTAATAGAATTGCATACGTCCCATTACTTGCCTTCTTAGTAGCTTTTTAATCACATCTAATTCATGTTCCAAAGTTACTGAATTTTAGATATATTTTTCAGTACCATTTCCACCAGCACCATTAACAATATTTGATGGATGTTAGGATAATACAAACATTAATTTCCCAATTAATCGTTTTCATAAAATATTGCTGGTGTTGACACACTCTTATTTCTGCATTGGCTTTTAGGATATTGCTTATTCTTTTCTGCCATTGGGCTGCCCCTTCCCATCTGATACCCACAGGGACTCTCATATTCAACGGCATCTTTAGTGTCTCTCCTCTCCAGCTCCAGCCAACTTTCCACATCTGGAACTCTCTACCATCTTGCCTCCGCTACTGCTTCTCTGTTTCTTCCACCCTGTTGTTCCCACCATCGCACCCTCGTGAAGCAGTCATCCTTCTCTTGGCTGGCAAAACTTGCTCCTTAGCCACCTTTTCATCCACTTCTCGTTCACCTTTGATCAAGTTAAACTGGTTATTTAACCTCACTGAGGGAGGGCTTCAGAATCTATATTTCTGTGTGTTAGTTCACCTATCAGACTCCTCCTGATTTCGCTTGCTTGTCTGTGAGCCTCAATCTCACAGTCAGTCATTTCACTGATACTCATACAAGCACCCTCTGCGAGTCTTGACCTCTGTCCTCTGGACCACGTGTTCCTCCAGAGCCCATCTCCAGCTGGACTTTTCCATTCCTGATCACAGCCTGCTGGGTGCACCTTTCTGTCCTCAAATGAGACCACTGGGTGACCCACTCTCATGCTCCTCAGTTTTATTCTATTTCCCATTCCCCACAATGGCTAATAGATATATTTGCCTCACTCAAGTCCCTGATCACATGCTTACATCTCAATCCTCAATATTTATTTAGTTTCCAAATGTTTTCAGGTAAAAACTCCCTCCACTTCCCTCCAGCATTATCTCCAAAGTCTCTCGTTCTTACATCTTTCTAGCTTGCTCGGAGTAGATATCTTTCTCTTCTCCCAAGCCTTCCCCCTACCCCACCCCAACCCCTCACCTTTTGTAATTACTTTGCCCTACCCAGCATCCTTTCTACCCGCCCCCCCGCATCAGCCTCACCCTTTCCACTGACCCTGAATACTTTCAGATAATTCTCATCCTAAAATTCACTCTCCCCTTGATCCCGCACCCCTCTTAAGCCACTTCTCAATCCCTCCCCTTTCCTTTACCATCAAACCTCCTTTTAAAAAATGTTTACTTAATTTGTTTAAATGTTTCATGTTCACTAAAAAACTTGGAAAATACTGAGAAGCTGAAAGAATAAAAATAACTGCCCCCTATAGTCCTATATCTCAGATACAGATGCT